ACTCATTCAAGGGTTTTTCTTTATTTTGACTATTTTCTACATTGTACAATAATAGTGAAGACATCAAAACTATGAAATAACACATATGGAATCATGTAGTAACCAAGAAAGTGCTAAACAAATCAAAATATATTTTATATTTGAGATTCTTCCAATAGCCAACCTTTGCCTTGATGACGGCTTTGCACACTCTTGGCATTCTCTCAACCAGCTTCATGAGGTAGTCACCTGGAATGCATTTCAATTAACAGGTGTGCCTTCTTAAAAGTTAATTTGTGGAATTTCTTTCCTTCTTAACCTCTACGGGATCAGTGTCCCGTATACGGGATGGTTGAGCTAAAGTGCGCTAATGTGATTAGCATGACTGTTGTAAGTAACAGCCAACTTTCCAGGACATAGACATGTCTTATATGGGCAGAAAGCTTAAATTCGTGTTAATCTAACTGCACTGTCCAATTTACAGTAGCTATTACAGTGAAAAAATACCATGCTATTGTTTGAGGAGAGCGCACAACAACACAAAACGTATCACGGCAACCGGTTTGATAGTCGCCTCTTTTTTATTATTTTTTTATTTCACCTTTATTTAACCAGGTAAGCCAGTTGAGAACAGGTTCTCATTTACAACTGCGACCTGGCCAAGATAAAGCAAAGTAGTGCAATAAAAACAACACAGAGTTACATATGGGGTAAAAAAAAAAAAACATAAAGTCAGAAATACAACAGAAAATATATATACAGTGTGTGCAAATGTAGCAAGTTATGGAGGTAAGGCAATAAATAGGCTATAGTGCAGAATAATTACAATAGTATTAACACTGGAATGCTAGATGTGCAAGAGATTATGTGCAAATAGAGATACTGGGGTGCAAAAGAGCAAATTAAATAACAATATAGGGATGAGGTAGTTGGGTGGGCTAATTTCAGATGGGCTGTGTACAGGTGCAGTGATCGGTAAGGTGCTCTGACAACTGATGCTTAAAGTTATTGGGGGAGATAAGAGTCTCCAGCTTCAGAGATTTTTGCAATTCGTTCCAGTCATTGGCAGCAGAGAACTGGAAGGAATGGCGGCCAAAGGAGGTGTTGGCTTTGGGAATGACCAGTGAGATATACCTGCTGGAGCGCAGACTGCGGGTGGGTGCTGCTATAGTGACCAATGAGCTAAGATAAGGCGGGGATTTGCCTAGCAGTGATTTATAGGTAAATAATGTACTTCCATTCAGTGATTTGCTCTGATTTGTCATCCTGAGGGTCCCAGAGATTAAATGTAGCTTAGTTTTGTTTGATAAAATCCATTTTTATATTCAAATGTAGGAACTGGGTTCTACAGTTTGAACCCATGCTGCCTCCACACCCACCCCACCCAGCCATCTAGATGTGTGAAAGTTTGTGTATAAGCAATGGTCCATCATGTATGATATTCCTGGGAGTGTGTAAACTTACATTTTTGTATGTTCTCTATAGTTATGTACTTGAAAATGTATCAATTGACCAATTCGGCACATTTGGGCAGACTTGATATAAAATAGTCCAATGCTTCACTGGATCAATCTCACACATTGCTGCCATCTAGTGGCCAAAATCTAAATTGCGCCTAAACTGCAATATTATATTGTGGCCTTTCTCTTGCATTTCAAAGATGATGTAACAAAAAAAATAGAAAACAAATGTTTTTTGTTTGTATTATCTTTTACCAGATCTAATGTGTTATATTCTCCTAAATTAATTACACGTTGCCACAAACCTCAACGTGTTTCCTTTCAAATGGTATCAATATGCATTTCCTTGCTTCAGGTTCTGAGCTACAGGCAGTTTGATTTGGGTATCAGTTTAGGTGAAAAAAAAAAAAAAAGGTTAATGCGTTTGAGCCAATCAGTTGTGTTGTGACGAGGTGGGGGGCGGGGTATACAGAAGATAGCCCTATTTGGTAAAAGACCAAGTCCATATTATGGCAAGAACAGGAAAGGAAGACCCAGAGTTACCTCTGCTGCAGAGGATAAGTTCATTAGAGTTACCAGCCTCAGAAATTGCAGGCCAAATAAATGCTTCACAGAGTTCAAGTAACAGACATCTCAACATCAACTGTTCAGAGGAGACTGTGTGAATCAGGCCTTCATGGTCACAATTGTGTATTTCCCACCATAAAGCATGGAGGACGAGGTGTTATGGGGTGGGGGTGCTTTGCTGGAGACACTCATTTATTTAGAATTCAAGGCACACTTAACCAGCATGGCTACCACAGCATTCTGCAGCGATACGCCATCCCATCTGGTTTGGGCTTAGTGGGACTATGATTTGTTTTTCAACAGGACAACAACCCAACACACCTCCAGGCTGTGTAAGGGCTATTTACCAAGAAGGAGAGTGATGGAGTGCCGTTTCAGATGAACCTGGCCTCCACAATCCCCCGACCTCAACCCAACTGAGATGGTTTGGGATGAGTTGGACCGCAGAGTGAAGGAAAAGCAGCCAACAAGTGCTCAGCATATATGGGCACTCCTTCAAGACTGTTGGAAAAGCATTCCAGGTGAAGCTGGTTGAGAGAATGCCAAGTGTGCAAAGCTGTCATCAAGGCAAAGGGTGGCTATATGAAGAATATAAAATATTTTGATTTGTTTAACACTTTCTTGGTTACTACATGATTCCATGTGTTATTTCATAGTTTATGTCTTCACTATTATTCTACAATGTAGAAAATAGTACAAATAAAGAAAAACCCTTGAATGAGTAGGTGTTCTAAAACTTTTGACCGGTGGCGTAGGTGATGTGGATCTATGTCTATACATGTTTGTGTTGAAAAATATACAAAAACTGAACTATAAGAAAACACCTATACCAAAGCCTGACAGATGTAATGTTGCCATGGATACAGAACAGTTCTAAACAAGATTAAAAAGGAACACTGGATTACTAAGAAACCTTTAATTTTTCCTGTTCATAAGGAAATATTTGTTTTAACATTTTTCATACAAAAACAGCATACGTATTCTTAACGTTGACACATTTTGCATTGAAACAATCTTTTGACACAGTTGCAGGGGTAAGACTGTAAAATAAATGACATTTTATTATAATAAACGACCACAAAAATGTCTTCCATACAAAAGTAATAATGCCACTAGACCGTCTGTTGTAAAAGACCAACCACGCCAAAACCACATCTCTCTGGTTCCGTCCCAAATGGCCCACTGTGCCCTTTATAGTACACTGCACTGTACCCTTTATAGTACACTGCACTGTACCCTTTATAGTACACTGCACTGTACCCTTTATAGTACACTGCACTGTACCTTTATAGTACACTGCACTGTACCCTTTATAGTACACTGCACTATACCCTTTATAGTACACTGCACTATACCCTTTATAGTACACTGCACTATACCCTTTATAGTACACTGCACTGTACCCTTTATAGTACACTGCACTATACCCTTTATAGTACACTGCACTGTACCCTTTATAGTACACTGCACTGTACCCTTTATAGTACACTGCACTATACCCTTTATAGTACACTGCATATACCCTTATAGTACCACTGCCACTATACCCTTTATCGTACAATGCAATGTACCTTTATAGTACACTGCCCACATACCTTTATAGTTACACTGCCACTATACCCTTATAGTACACTGACAAGATACCCTTTATAGTACACTGCACTATACCCTTTATAGTACACTGCACTATACCCTTTATAGTACACTGCACTATACCCTTTATAGTACACTGCACTGTAACCTTATCGTACCACTGCACTAGACCCTTATAGTACACTGCACTGTACCCTTTATAGTACACTGCACTATACCCTTTATAGTACACTGCACTATACAGGGTATAGGGGGCCATTTGGGACTCACACTTGGAGAAGGTTCTAGCAGGATTGATAAAATTAGAGGGGAGGGGGCTTTAACTTTATACATTTTTTTTTTTAAAGGAAGGACAAAAGTTATTTGAATTACAATTAAAATATTACAGCACCAGGACAATGTTACACTAGAATCAGTCAGGTGGCATTGATGGTTTAAGAGACACTTAACGGTTCACTATGAACTGGACTTGGGGACGATATTTACGGTTAAAACTAAACCGGTTTGGCACCGGCAACAGACGCAGAGGGGGGGGGGGGAAACATTTCAGACTCGGTGACAGTAACTAGGTGGTAGAGGAACCACTAGCCTGGGCTGGTGTTCAGGAGGATATCATGTAGAAACGCACACACCAGATGAATGACACTATTCCCTCTTCCATAGAACAAAGCAGCACGTCAAATCTAGATGGTGTATTTCTAGATGAATATTCTGTAACGTTGCTCCTCATGGAACACTGACCCCTGGCTGGGTACTAAATGGTACCCTATTTCCTATATAGTGCACTACTTTTTGACCAGAGCACCATGGACCCTGGTTTAAAGTAGTGCACTGTAACAGGGATAAGGCTGCCATTTGGGACAGACCCTGATGGTTAGGCACTAAGAGCTAAGCTTGGGTGTGCGTTATGCTCTCCGTATTGAACAGCTGTCACGACATGCAGAGTAGTAACTAGCCAATCGATCACGATACGGGGGGGGATTTATCAAATCAAAAAATCAGAATTGAAAAACAGTGAAAGAGCAAAAATACAAATAAAAGGACAGTGAAAAATGATTGATTGTGTCCCAAATGGCAGCCTATTCAATCCATAGTGCACTACTTTCAACCAGACCCTATTGACCTTAGTTAAAAGTAGTGCACTATATAGGGAATAGGGTGCCATTTAGGAACATCCTGCTATACCACATGCTGAGGACTCCGATCATGACTTATGGCTTTAATAGGTCTCTCTCAGCCAGTCAGATAAGTGCAGCTGGGTTGAAATTTCAGGCCTAGTTCCAAACCCGGTCCTAGGGGGGGGGTAGGAGTCAAGTGCCCAGGGGTAGGAAGTAGGAACCAAGGTGGTAAGGAGAGGGACCTAGATCGGAGTCGGTGGCTGGGTTCCATCGCTACCACACCTGAGGAACTTCGAAGAGAGAAGACGTGGTCTCTGCACCTAGAGGGAGGGAAAAGGGAGAGGTGAGACAGAGAAGACATGGTCTCTGCACCTAGAGGGAGGGAAAAGGGAGAGGTGAGACAGAGAAGACATGGTCTCTGCACCTAGAGGGAGGGAAAAGGGAGAGGTGAGACAGAGAGACAGTCAACCTGAGGTACACCACCGGTGATGGTGCTATTCACAACTCTTCAATAAGGAGAAGTGGAGATCAAACTCTCTCTTGGGCTCTAACTATCAGGGTCTGTCACCAGAGGACTTTAGCTCCACAGATAAATTAGACTATTAAGTGATTTAAACACTTTGGATGGCTCACAACTTCCTCCGGCTAAATCAAGACAAGACCAAGATACTTATTATTGGAGCCAAAGCGCAGAGAGAGAACATGGCCACGCATTTTAATTCACAGGCCATAAAGATAAAAAAAACCTAGGTGTTATTTTAGATTCTGAACTAAATTGAATCACATTAGGATTGTGACCAAAATAGCATTTTAGCACCTGAGGAACATTGCCAAGGTGGGGCTGTTTCTCTCTCAGGCTGATACAGAGAGACTCATCCATGCTTTTATTACAAGCAGGCTTGACTACTGTAATGCTCTCCTGTCTGGTCTAACCAAGAAAGCCTTTGGTCAACTGCAAAACATACAGAATGCTGACCAAGACCAGACGGTTTTAAGGCCTCTGCACTGGCTGCCTGTGAGTTTTAGAATTAAATGTTAAGATTCTTCTATTGGTTTTTAAATCAATCCACGATTGTGCATCCCAATACATGTCAGACATGCTTTTAAGTTATGTAACCAGTAGGTCCCTCAGGTCCTCTGGCACTGGCCGTTTAACTATCCCAAAGCCTAGGACCAAGATGCATGGAGAGGCGGCCTTTAGTTACTATGCCCCCCAGAAACTGGGGACAGCATGGAGAGGCAGCCTTTAGTTACTATGACCCCCAGAAACTGGGGACAGCCTAGGGCCAAGAGGCATGGAGAGGCAGCCTTTAGTTACTATGACCCCCAGAAACTGGGGACAGCCTAGGGCCAAGAGGCATGGAGAGGCAGCCTTTAGTTACTATGCCCCCCAGAAACTGTGGACAGCCTAGGGCCAAGAGGCATGGAGAGGCAGCCTTTAGTTACTATGCCCCCCAGAAACTGTGGACAGCCTAGGACCAAGAGGCATGGAGAGGCGGCCTTTAGTTACTATGACCCCCAGAAACTGGGGACAGCCTAGGACCAAGAGGCATGGAGAGGCAGCCTTTAGTTACTATGCCCCCCAGAAACTGTGGACAGCCTAGGGCCAAGAGGCATGGAGAGGCAGCCTTTAGTTACTATGCCCCCCAGAAACTGTGGACAGCCTAGGACCAAGAGGCATGGAGAGGCGGCCTTTAGTTACTATGACCCCCAGAAACTGGGGACAGCCTAGGACCAAGAGGCATGGAGAGGCGGCCTTTAGTTACTATGACCCCCAGAAACTGGGGACAGCCTAGGGCCAAGAGGCATGGAGAGGCAGCCTTTAGTTACTATGACCCCCAGAAACTGGGGACAGCCCAGGGCCAAGAGGCATGGAGAGGCAGCCTTTAGTTACTATGACCCCCAGAAACTGGGGACAGCCTAGGGCCAAGAGGCAGCCTTTAGTTACTATGCCCCCCAGAAACTGTGGACAGCCTAGGGCCAAGAGGCATGGAGAGGCGGCCTTTAGTTACTATGCCCCCCAGAAACTGGGGACAGCCTAGGGCCAAGAGGCATGGAGAGGCAGCCTTTAGTTACTATGACCCCCAGAAACTGTGGACAGCCTAGGGCCAAGAGGCATGGAGAGGCAGCCTTTAGTTACTATGACCCCCAGAAACTGTGGACAGCCTAGGGCCAAGAGGCATGGAGAGGCAGCCTTTAGTTACTATGACCCCCAGAAACTGTGGACAGCCTAGGGCCAAGAGGCATGGAGAGGCAGCCTTTAGTTACTATGCCCCCCAGAAACTGGGGACAGCCTAGGGCCAAGAGGCATGGAGAGGCAGCCTTTAGTTACTATGCCCCCCAGAAACTGGGGACATATTTAAAAGAGATCTTAAAACACTCCTTTTTAGCGTTGCTTTTCCTCAGGCTGCTTTTTAGTCCTTCAGTTTAATTGTTCTTTAGTTTTTTATCCTCTGATGTTTGTTGTCTATTAAATATTTATGTTTTATTTTCATTGTTTTTATTAGTTTTTTCATGTGAAGCACATTGTGTTGCATTCCATGTCTGAAATGTGCTGTATTAATAAAAGCTTGATTTGATGGGGCAATATACACTTTAAAAACACACTTGTCTCACCATCAGTCTTCCTCTTCTTGTTGTTCTTGCGGCCCTTCTTGCTCTGATTGGCTGAAGACTGCTGTTGCCAGTCGCCCGCCGCTGGATCACTAGCGTCGTCCACCGCCTCTGACCCCACCTCTTCCTGGATCGGACTCATGCTCGACGAATCAGACCCAGACCTACAGTGAAGAGCAACCAATCACAGGCTTAACTTCCTTCAACGAACACCCAGGTAGTTTTTCTAGTTTAAAGCACCACTAAAAGTTCTAGAGTTATATGTTCAACTGTTCACAAATCTTTACTTACTGAGTTTTCAGCCAACCTTCTGACGTCCTGCTGTCCACTACTCCTGCATACGTCCGTACACACCCCCCTGGAGGAGACAACACCACATCAGGTCTACACCCCCCTAGAGACAACACCACATCAGGTCTACACACCCCCCTGGAGGAGACAACACCACATCAGGTCTACACACCCCTAGAGACAACACCACATCAGGTCTACACACCCCCCTGGAGGAGACGACACCACATCAGGTCTACACACCCCCCTGGAGGAGACAACACCACATCAGGTCTACACACCCCTAGAGACGACACCACATCAGGTCTACACACCCCCCTGGAGGAGTCGACTCCACATCAGGTCTACACACCCCCCTGGAGGAGACAACACCACATCAGGTCTACACACCCCTAGAGACAACACCACATCAGGTCTACACACCCCTGGAGACGACACCACATCAGGTCTACACACCCCCCTGGAGGAGACAACACCACATCAGGTCTACACCCCCCTGGAGGAGACAACACCACATCAGGTCTACATACCCCTAGAGACAACACCACATCAGGTCTACACACCCCTAGAGACAACACCACATCAGGTCTACACACCCCCCTGGAGGAGACGACACCACATCAGGTCTACACACCCCTAGAGACAACACCACATCAGGTCTACACACCCCCCTGGAGGAGACGACACCACATCAGGTCTACACACCCCCCTGGAGGAGACAACACCACATCAGGTCTACACACCCCTAGAGACAACACCACATCAGGTCTACACACCCCCCTGGAGGAGTCGACTCCACATCAGGTCTACACACCCCCCTGGAGGAGACAACACCACATCAGGTCTACACACCCCTAGAGACAACACCACATCAGGGCTACACACCCCTAGAGACGACACCACATCAGGTCTACACACCCCCCTGGAGGAGACAACACCACATCAGGTCTACACACCCCTAGAGACGACACCACATCAGGTCTACACACCCCCCTGGAGGAGTCGACTCCACATCAGGTCTACACACCCCCCTGGAGGAGACAACACCACATCAGGTCTACACACCCCTAGAGACAACACCACATCAGGGCTACACACCCCTAGAGACGACACCACATCAGGTCTACACACCCCCCTGGAGGAGTCGACTCCACATCAGGTCTACACACCCCCCTGGAGGAGACAACACCACATCAGGTCTACACACCCCTAGAGACAACACCACATCAGGGCTACACACCCCTAGAGACGACACCACATCAGGTCTACACACCCCCCTGGAGGAGACAACACCACATCAGGTCTACACACCCCTAGAGACGACACCACATCAGGTCTACACACCCCCCTGGAGGAGTCGACTCCACATCAGGTCTACACACCCCCCTGGAGGAGACAACACCACATCAGGTCTACACACCCCTAGAGACAACACCACATCAGGGCTACACACCCCTAGAGACGACACCACATCAGGTCTACACACCCCCCTGGAGGAGACAACACCACATCAGGTCTACACACCCCTAGAGACAACACCACATCAGGTCTACACACCCCCCTGGAGGAGACAACACCACATCAGGTCTACACACCCCTAGAGACAACACCACATCAGGTCTACACACCCCCCTGGAGGAGACAACACCACATCAGGTCTACACACCCCTAGAGACAACACCACATCAGGTCTACACACCCCCCTGGAGGAGACAACACCACATCAGGTCTACACACCCCTAGAGACAACACCACATCAGGTCTACACACCCCTGGAGACGACACCACATCAGGTCTACACACCCCCCTGGAGGAGACAACACCACATCAGGTCTACACCCCCCTGGAGGAGACAACACCACATCAGGTCTACACACCCCTAGAGACAACACCACATCAGGTCTACACACCCCCCTGGAGGAGACAACACCACATCAGGTCTACACACCCCTAGAGACAACACCACATCAGGTCTACACACCCCTGGAGACGACACCACATCAGGTCTACACACCCCCCTGGAGGAGACAACACCACATCAGGTCTACACCCCCCTGGAGGAGACAACACCACATCAGGTCTACATACCCCTAGAGACAACACCACATCAGGTCTACACACCCCTAGAGACAACACCACATCAGGTCTACACACCCCCCTGGAGGAGACGACACCACATCAGGTCTACACACCCCTAGAGACAACACCACATCAGGTCTACACACCCCCCTGGAGGAGACGACACCACATCAGGTCTACACACCCCTAGAGACAACACCACATCAGGTCTACACACCCCCCTGGAGGAGACGACACCACATCAGGTCTACACACCCCTAGAGACAACACCACATCAGGTCTACACACCCCCCTGGAGGAGACGACACCACATCAGGTCTACACACCCCCCTGGAGGAGACAACACCACATCAGGTCTACACACCCCCCTGGAGGAGACACCACCACATCAGGTCTACACCCCCCCCTGGAGGAGACAACACCACATCAGGTCTACACACCCCTAGAGACAACACCACATCAGGTCTACACACCCCTGGAGACGACACCACATCAGGTCTACACACCCCCCTGGAGGAGACAACACCACATCAGGTCTACACCCCCCTGGAGGAGACAACACCACATCAGGTCTACATACCCCTAGAGACAACACCACATCAGGTCTACACACCCCCCTGGAGGAGACGACACCACATCAGGTCTACACACCCCTAGAGACAACACCACATCAGGTCTACACACCCCCCTGGAGGAGACGACACCACATCAGGTCTACACACCCCTAGAGACAACACCACATCAGGTCTACACACCCCCCTGGAGGAGACGACACCACATCAGGTCTACACACCCCTAGAGACAACACCACATCAGGTCTACACACCCCCCTGGAGGAGTCGACTCCACATCAGGTCTACACACCCCTAGAGACGACACCACATCAGGTCTACACCCCCCCCTGGAGGAGTCGACTCCACATCAGGTCTACACACCCCCCTGGAGGAGACAACACCACATCAGGGCTACACACCCCTAGAGACGACACCACATCAGGTCTACACACCCCCCTGGAGGAGACAACACCACATCAGGTCTACACACCCCTAGAGACGACACCACATCAGGTCTACACACCCCCCTGGAGGAGACGACACCACATCAGGTCTACACACCCCTAGAGACGACACCACATCAGGTCTACGCACCCCTAGAGACGACACCACATCAGGTCTACACACCCCCCTGGAGGAGACAACACCACATCAGGTCTACACACCCCTAGAGACGACACCACATCAGGTCTACACACCCCCCTGGAGGAGACAACACCACATCAGGTCTACACACCCCTAGAGACAACACCACATCAGGTCTACACACCCCTAGAGAAGACACCACATCAGGTCTACACACCGCCCTGGAGGAGACAACACCCCTAGAGAAGACACCACATCAGGTCTACACACCCCCCTGGAGGAGACAACACCCCTAGAGACGACACCACATCAGGTCTACACACCCCCCTGGAGGAGACGACACCACATCAGGTCTACACACCCCTAGAGAAGACAACACATCAGGTCTACACACCCCTAGAGAATACAACACATCAGGTCTACACACCTAGAGACGACACCACATCAGGTCTACACACCCCTGGAGGAGACTACACCACATCAGGTCTACACCCCCCTAGAGAAAACAGACCACATCAGAACAGGTGTTTCTCGATCAGTGTTTTCCTCTGAACATTCTGTTCATGATTAGTACACTGGTGATGGATATATACACTTAGTTACTGTCTGTCTCCCAGCGGGGGGGGCGGGGGGGGTCCTTACCGTCAGTCCTGATCTTCTTGCTGCCCGTGTCGGAGTGTGTGTGACAGTGAGCGTAGCCGCTCCACCCGTCAGTGTGTGTGCTCAGTGCCCCTCCCTCCGCAGGCTGCTCCTCCTGGATAGGACTGATGCAGCGTTTCCCCGACGACTGCCTGACGCGTACAACAGAGTGCACACAAGGACCGCCTTCACATTTTAAACAAATCAACCTGCCTTAGAGAGACTCCACCGTGAACTTGTAGAACGGTGGAGCAGATTCTTTGCTTCTTTTAAATAATACAAAAAATAACATTGACAGACGCCTTTCAAGACACTCAAGGACCCCCTTGCATTAAAAAAGTATATGAAATAAAGTGGTGTCTGTGTAAACCTGTTGTGACCGTAGCTGTAGCCAGTAGGTCCATCACCAACGGTAGAGGGGGAGGTGTAGTGTGGTTTAACCCAGCCGTCCTCATCCCAGGACTGGGTAGTGTGGCCCTGGCTCTCCCTGACTTGCTGTCTGCCCTGGACGTACTCCGCATACGTCTGGATACGGTAGCTCTCCGCATAGCGACTCGTGTTAATCGCTATACAGACAGACGGAGAAGGCCACACAAAGGAGAGAATGGGAGTCTAGTCAGAACGATCGCAAAAAAAATATATAGAAAAATATCAACTTTGATTCATTTGAAGTGAAATGTTGAGTTTTCTAGAGCAGTGTTGCTCAACCTTTTGTGTACCAGGGTTTGGAGACAGATTGACAGGAACAGAGTGAGACCACACCCACAGTACAGGCACATAAACAGCTGGTTAATAGTAGTGCAGGAGGATTGGGTAACGTCTCTGGCAGCGCTCCACTTGGCCTGAAACAGCTGGTTAATAGTAGTGCAGGAGGATTGGGTAACGTCTCTGGCAGCGCTCCACTTGGCCTGAAACAGCTGGTTAATAGTAGTGCAGGAGGATTGGGTAACGTCTCTGGCAGCGCTCCACTTGGCCTGAAACAGCTGGGGCTGAAACAGCTGGTTAATAGTAGTGCAGGAGGATTGGGTAACGTCTCTGGCAGCGCTCCACTTGGCCTGAAACAGCTGGTTAATAGTAGTGCAGGAGGATTGGGTAACGTCTCTGGCAGCGCTCCACTTGGCCTGAAACAGCTGGTTAATAGTAGTGCAGGAGGATTGGGTAACGTCTCTGGCAGCGCTCCACTTGGCCTGAAACAGCTGTTCATCCTCAACCATTTAGATTTAGGTGCAGGAACTCTGCAATAGTTCTAAGTCTTCTATAAGAGGTGCCAGAACTCAAGCAGTAGAACATTTGAGGTGCCGGCCCAAGTCAAGTCCTGGTCTCTGGGTCAAACGTAGTGCACTATATATAGGGAATAGGGTGCATGTTGGGACGCTAGTTGAGGCCAGTACTCACCGATCTGCACCTGCTCCGTCTGACTCAGAGACACAAACGCTGACGTGTCATCAATCCACGACACCTGGATGTTACCTAGGAGACATGCGGGCAGACACGGCAATTAAAAGCTGTCCTGGTGTGTGTCCCAGTTGGTAGTTACTGGTTTGTGTGGGGTTTGGTGTCCCAGTTGGTAGTTACTGGTTTGTGTGGGGTTTGGTGTCCCAGTTGGTAGTTACTGGTTTGTGTGGGGTTTGGTGTCCCAGTTGGTAGTTACTGGTTTGTGTGGGGTTTGGTGTCCCAGTTGGTAGTTACTGGTTTGTGTGGGGTTTGGTGTCCCAGTTGGTAGTTACTGGTTTGTGTGGGGTTTGGTGTCCCAGTTGGTAGTTACTGGTTTGTGTGGGGTTTGGTGTCCCAGTTGGTAGTTACTGGTTTGTGTGGGGTTTGGTGTCCCAGTTGGTAGTTACTGGTTTGTGTGGGGTTTGGTGTCCCAGTTGGTAGTTACTGGTTTGTGTGGGGTTTGGTGTCCCAGTTGGTAGTTACTGGTTTGTGTGGGGTTTGGTGTCCCAGTTGGTAGTTACTGGTTTGTGTGGGGTTTGGTGTCCCAGTTGGTAGTTACTGGTTTGTGTGGGGTTTGGTGTCCCAGTTGGTAGTTACTGGTTTGTGTGGGGTTTGGTGTCCCAGTTGGTAGTTACTGGTTTGTGTGGGGTTTGGTGTCCCAGTTGGTAGTTACTGGTTTGTGTGGGGTTTGGTGTCCCAGTTGGTAGTTACTGGTTTGTGTGGGGTTTGGTGACCCAGTTGGTAGTTACTGGTTTGTGTGGGGTTTGGTGACCCAGTTGGTAGTTACTGGTTTGTGTGGGGTTTGGTGACCCAGTTGGTAGTTACTGGTTTGTGTGGGGTTTGGTGTCCCAGTTGGTAGAGCAGAGCACTTGCAACACCAGGGTGGTGGCTTTGATTCCCACTGGGACCACCAATGTACATTGCTTTGGATAAAAGTGTCTGCTAAACAGCATATATTATTTTCATATTATGTGGTGTGTGTCTTACCAAAGGCACTGAATAGCTGGTAGAGGTCACTGGTCTTCCACTCCTTAGGGAAGGTAACGTACAGAACATGATCCCTCTTGGGCTGGACTGTAGAGGAGGAGAGGGGGGAAGAGGGGAACAGAGATGGATAGAGAGAGGGGGGAACAGAGATGGATAGAGAGAGGGGGGAACAGAGATGATAGAGAGAGGGGGGAACAGAGATGGATAGAGAGAGGGGAACAGAGATGGATAGAGAGAGGGGAACAGAGATGGATAGAGAGAGGGGAACAGAGATGGATAGAGAGAGGGGAACAGAGATGGATAGAGAGAGGGGAACAGAGATGGATAGAGAGAGGGGAACAGAGATGGATAGAGAGAGGGGAACAGAGATGGATAGAGAGAGGGGAACAGAGATGGATAGAGAGAGGGGAACAGAGATGGATAGAGAGAGGGGAACAGAGATGGATAGAGAGAGGGGAACAGAGATGGATAGAGAGAGGGGAACAGAGATGGATAGAGAGAGAGGGGAACAGAGATGGATAGAGAGAGAGGGGAACAGAGATGGATAGAGAGAGAGGGGAACAGAGATGGATAGAGAGAGGGAACAAGGAACATTATTAGTTATCACCACTGCCCAATGATGGGTTTATATACATCATTGTCACGGCCCATTTCTATATGTCATCGTTAATAAACTCTCTCCATTTTTTTTGGCTGCTGACTATACGCAGGTGAGGCAGTGTATAATACTACCGTTCTGTAGGATACGGTGTTGGACAGTATATTGTATCACATAGAACTACTCACGGTCTGGTCCGCTGATGTTGAGGTAGGGGATATCTATGATCCTCATCAGGAACAGTCTGGAGAAGACATGAGACGTCAATGTAGCATTATAAGGCTTCATACACTAAGACATGTTGAGGTAGGGAATACCTACGAGTCCCCATAGGAGGTAAAGAAACTGAAGGGGAAAAAATATCTTACTTGTTGACGAAGGGTTCGATGAGTTTAGATCGGGACGGGATGTGGGCTTTGGGGGGAGTCAGGAAAGTACCTGAGGTGGAAAGAGATGAACAGCCACCGATGACAAAAACGTTACAGCTTCTACTGCTTTAGCCTATATGCCGTCACAGAGACTCCAAGCTGTCCATGCCTACGGTACTGTCCCCATCCATTTTCACTAACGGTAAGTGGTAGTGTTACCTAGGTGGCTGGCCATGGAGATGGCCTTTTCTCAATTGGATTTGCTCAACTCCTGCATCCTCTCTCGCCTCCTTCTGAAAAAGGTCGAAGGTCACGGAGGAGAGGCGGTGGAGGAGAGGGAACGTGGATGAAAACGTGCCGGTATGAAATGATCCTTCTCTACTCGCGCCACATAACGCGGATGACGTTTCCAGGGGGTGGATCTCGGAATAAATGTGTAAAGTGATGAAAACTAATGAAGGTAGTTGACATTTTCTAGATAAAACGATATGCTCCTTATGGTGAGCGCATGCTTCTCTCCTCTGACAACCTGACTGGAAGGGGGCCTGGCAGATCTTCCACCAAGGACTTAGGTAGGATACACGTGACTATCCTCAATGAAAGGTGGCTGTCGACGAGGGGAGGACACGCTTCTGTTCCCTACTCTCTCCTCGACCACGGAGGAGAGAGCGTAAGGAGGACAGACTTTTACCCAAATGAGAAAAGGCCAACGAAGCAGAGGCCAGTGATGTAGGGTTAGAGCAGTAGTAGTAGTAATAGTAGTAGCAGTAGTAGCAGCAGTAGTAGTAGTAGTAATAGTAGTAGTAGTAGTAGTAGTAGTCGTAGTAGTAGTCGTAGTAGTAGTCGTAGCAGCAGTAGCAGCAGTAGTAGCAGCATTAGTAATAGTAGTAGTAGTAGTAGTAGTAGTAGTAGTAGTAGTAGTGTGTATAGGTAGAGTTAGGTACCTAGGTAGTTGGCCATGGCGATGAAGCAGAGGCCAGTGATGTAGGGTTAGAGCAGTAGTAGTAGTCGTAGTAGTAGTAATAGTAGTAGTAGTAGCAGCAGTAGCAGCAGTAGTAGCAGCATTAGTAATAGTAGTAGTAGTAGTAGTAGTAGTAGTAGCAGTAGCAGTGTGTATAGGTAGAGTTAGGTACCTAGGTAGTTGGCCATGGCGATGAAGCAGAGGCCAGTGATGTAGGGTTAGAGCAGTATTAGTAGTCGTAGTAGTAGTAATAGTAGTCGTAGCAGTAGTAATAGCAGTAGCAGTGTGTATAGGTAGAGTTAGGTACCTAGGTAGTTGGCCATGGCGATGAAGCAGAGGCCAGTGATGTAGGCATCGTAGCCCGCCTCGTGGAGCTGTTCCTGGGCTGTATCGTAGCTGGGGAAATCCTCCGCCGTCACTGGTCCATGGAGGAAAGAAGAGAAGCAGGGCTAAATCAGACACTACACTTTAATAGATGTCTCTCATTATTGTCCCTGGCCATAGACATTCCAGCAGGAGTATTCAAAAGTTCAGCAGGGACACCATTTTTCCCGCCAGAATTTCTGGGGACCCCATTTTTTTTTAAATGACTCTAGCGACCAGTGGCATGTACTCATGGATGCCAGGGGAAGCCAGGCTTCCCCAAAAACTTTACCAATTAAAAAAAAAAAAAAACATTAAATAATGTCTCTTTCGTCTCAGTTTCATAATTTTCCTTCAATTCGCTAGAGGCTGAATGTATCTCACCGGAGAAAGCATCCGAGTGAGCGAAACAGCGCCCCCTCTGTCTCAGTACGTGTAGCCCATCTATCTGATGCTGTCTGGTCATAAAGAGTATGACATTGTTGCCGACCGTAGGATTGAATGCCAGGGAAGCCAGAGAGCATTTGGCCTCCCTTGATAAAAATGACAAACCTTTCCAAGCCAAACCATATCATAATTGCTACACACAGCCTACATCATATTAGCTAAAGTAACATCATAGTCAACATAGCTAATAGAACTAATGTGCAAGTAAACTCGCTACAATCATGCAGTAACGTTACAGTGTACAGTCAAGTAAGCAGTTTAGCTCTTACACCGGCGGGCCCTGGTGGCAATACATTTATAAAACCAGAAGCTTATCTTGACTTGGAAGAGTTCCAGTGTTGGATCTTCATAGCCAGCTAGCTAACATAGCATCCCTATGTTTGAGCAGGGCGTTTCAGTAGGCTAAACTAGCTAGCTGCATTTGCTAGCTAAGTAAGTGAAACTGAAAGAAAATGAACTCTTAGCTTCTCCTTTATTTAGGAAGAAATTACTTTATTAAACACTGTTCAACTATTGTCTCTTTGAGTCAACTACTCACCACATTTTATGCACTGCTAGCTAGCTGTAGCTTATGCTTTCAGTACTAGATTCATTCTCTGATCCTTTGATTGGGTGGACATGTCAGTTCATGCTTGTCGTAGAATTACAATATTATGTTAAATCACATTACTTTTATATTAGAATATATTCCTATATTAGTACATTCACAATTTCTGTTCTTCCGAGAGGAGCCTCTGAGGCTTAATGCTGACAGTTGATTTACGATGGCCTGGTGATAAGAAAACACTCCATTCCATTAGCAGTGTCTATGTTGAATGCTGGTCTGTCTGCCAGGGAGAGGAGAATCCTCCCTCCAGATTATTAATGAGCACTGGACTTCATAAATTAAGGGAAGGACTTAGTATCCCATGTTGCATTAGTGTTTCTGTATAAACAAGTAGTAAATTAACTAGAGATATTTGGCGCCATGTAAATCTTGCTGTCTGTTGCATGAGAACACAATGTACCTTTGTATAAAGTCACATCTGTTCGTCGTCACGAGGACTCAGAAAGACTAAAAAGTTGTAACCTAACCCTGCTTATTTGGGCCTTAACTCTACACCATTGGGCGACCGTTAACGCTCCATTACTGCAGTAATGATTAATAAAGTTTGATGGTTATGAAGAAATCTAAAAGTCTCTCTTTTGGTTAGAATAATTACCACGACATGCTGCAAGAGCTTTGATAGGTTGGAGGACATCCTCCGGATGTTGGTCATAACTGTTTAAGTCTATGGAAGGGGGTGAGAACCATGAGCCTCATAGGTTTTGTATTTAAGTCAATGTACCCAAAGGAGGACAGAAGCTAGCTGTCCTCCAGCTACACCCTATAGAGTGCTGTTGAGGCTACTGTAGACCTTCTTTGCAAAAATAGTGTTTTAATCAATTATTTGGTAACACAATATTATATTTAGTATAGTTTTATCTAAAAAGGATAACTTATGTTTTACAATTTTTATGAAATTCAAATATGTACTTTTTTTTTTCCTGGCTTGTTTTCCCCAGTGATCTAATGACGATAAACGTAGATTTTTGTTAGTATATGGTCCCATACAATAATCTGTAAAAAGGGAACCCCACTGCAGTTGCCCTGGGGTCGCTTCCCCGACTTGGAATACCACTGCATTACAGTATCTACACAGGTCCAATAGATCAATGGTTCTCAACCTTTCTTGGTTACTTATACCAGCAAGTACATTTGGCTCTGTCTGGAGTACCCCTGAAGTACTCCCTCTTGCATTCTACCAGTAAACCTATGGTCTTCATCAGTCTTCAAGTCCCCGCTGTGGATAAGCCAATTACCCCCAGGGGGTTCTACTATCCACCGCTATAGATTTTTGTCCCTTACCATAAACATAGGTTGATTAAGTTAGATTTGTACACAAATGTACCAACATTTCTATTATGTGTCAATTGTTGTATGATTAGTTAATGCGATTATGTAGTTATTTTGTTAGATACATCTCCCTATTAGCTGAATTCTTATTTTTCCAAAGCCATTTTAGCCTTCGAGCTAGCTGTTTGATCATTAGCTGCCGCGCTAGCTGTTTGATCATTAGCTGCCGCGCTAGCTGTTCGACCATTAGCTGCCGCGCTAGCTGTTCGATCATTAGCTGCCGCGCTAGCCGTTCGATCATTAGCTGCCGCGCTAGCCGTTCGATCATTAGCTGCCGCGCTAGCCGTTCGATCATTAGCTGCCGCGCTAGCTGCTAGCTTCTGAAATAGCTTACTCTTAAACATGGTGTAGTTGTAAATGTTCTCTTACCAACTTTAGGAGGTTTGAAGGGGCTCTCTTTCAGCTGTTTCTGCAGCTCTGCTAGAGATGTGATGTTGATCAACTCCTAGAGGGGTTACAATAACATTTCACAATAAATACTATTCCGATTTCAACAGGGGTTTCCTTACATCGTTTTTAAACTAACATCAAAATACTTTAAATATTATTACCTTGAAAGGTTGTGTTGTGGCCATGAGCTTGGTGTCCAACAGCCTGAGAAGAGGATAGAGGAGATACTTTATTGTCCATTGGTTAGAGCGGAATGTCTGCCTTTCCCAACAGCCCCAGATATACACGCGCGTTGAGAGGCAACGTGTTGACAGGGAGGCAACGCGTTGAGAGGCACAGGGTCAGACGCAATTGCAGCGCTCCTGGATCGAAAACATGTGGTGGGTTAAGTGCCTTGCACAATGGCAGGAGACGGTATATGGGATCAGACCAGCAGCCTTTCCAGCTGCCAGTTCATTCCCATTTGTGTCGCCGGCCTTTCCGGCTGCTGGTCCACCTTTCCAACCTCTAGGCTACTGGAGAAGTTTATAGATTAACAGTACACCAGATAAATAGACCGACTCCCAGAGAGATTAGGTCAAAGTAGTGGTAAGCCTTGTCGGAGCCAGAACGGCCCATAGAGAGAAGTAGCAGCAGTATGTCTTTACCTGGGGAAGACACACTGAGTGACCTCTTTAAAGTCATTCAGGTCCTGTGGGGGGAAAAAAAGAAAAGACTGTTTGTCAAACAGGAAAGAAACAAGGTTTCGATTCCAAACCATTGCGTGCGCATGTCTGCAATGTTCATCTAATTGGTGCGTGTTTGTACCTCTGGCAGTACGCAGTAGAACTGATGGATGGTATGCATGACATCCAACAGCATGTTGTGGCCAACCACCAACTTTCCCTGTGTTGGAGAGAGGGTGAAAAGAGATGAGTCCCATCCTAAAAGGTATAAAATAGTATAGCACCCAAGTGAGAAAAAGGAGAACTCACTCAACTAAAATATTCCTTATAGTTTCAGTGCTGGATTGCAAAAGCAGCTGGCATATACGTCGCAACATAACAGAAGATACAGATAAAACAAAACAACAATTTGATAACAGGTTGTCAGGAACTCCGGTATTTGATAACAGGTTGTCAGGGTAACTCACAGATTTGGAGATGGCGTGTATGACCCTGGAGAATCCCACAGCGTCATTCAGCTCCTCCTGTAAAGATTGACAAGGGTCATGTTCAGTAGGAAACATGGCAAAACATCGCAAAGAAAAACTACAAAGAAATGTCTCTTATTGGACAAGTCATCTCCCAGATTCAAAACGTTACCTCCTGATCATGTTTATTCAGGGGGGGGTGAAGGTTTGGAACATTTCCAAGAAGAAATGTAACGTTTGCTTTTTAGTGACGGTAGAAGGAAATTCAGCTGGTCATGTCAGTTTGTCGTTACTGCGTTTAGACCGTCTCCGTTTAGTTGGTTTGCTTTTTAGAGACGGTAGAAGGAACGTCACCTGTTCTCTCTCCTGTTTCTGCCGTTCTCTCCTCTTCCGCTCCTCATCGTCCACCTTGCTGATCTGGATGTAGCGCTCTTTCTGAAACACCAGATATCAGAATATAATATACAATACATGATGCATGTTAAACACCAGATATCCGAATATAATATAGAATACATGATGCATGTTAAACACCAGATATCAGAATATAATATACAATACATGATGCATGTTAAACACCAGATATCCGAATATAATATAGAATACATGATGCATGTTAAACACCAGATATCCGAATATAATATAGAATACATGATGCATGTTAAACACCAGATATCCGAATATAATATAGAATACATGATGCATGTTAAACACCAGATATCCGAATATAATATAGAATACATGATGCATGTTAAACACCAGATATCCGAATATAATATAGAATACATGATGTATGTTAAACACCAGATATCAGAATATAATATAGAATACATGATGTATGCTGTGTCTATACTGTACATAAACCGACTGACTGGAGACACTCCCACAGTACGACAGACTCACATCACATGACACATGATAGTATTTCTGTGCTGTGTTGTGCCTTCTAGATCTGGATGTACTGCTCTTTCCGGAACACAACACCATATATAATATAAACATACATGTGTTTATAACGTATACAAACATACACCTCACTCTGTCCGGAGACAAAAAGGCCCTCTAAGCACAGGTATACTCCAGAGAAAAGAAATGCCTTTCATTCATCCTGATGACCGACATGTAGAAAAATCCCAGAGTAACTCGACCAGAGGTATAAAAGAACGTTTTCAAATGGAGCAGTAAACTAAATAGTTGAAAACGGTATCACGCGTCACATCCTCTCGCTTAAATGGTTTTCAAACCTCTCCTCGGGGGACACCCTTCGACGTTCCACCATTCTGCTGCAGCCCTGAAGTAGCTCACAGTTGCAAACGGACAGTTTCTCAATGTAAAATGAGTTTATATTGGACAAATTCAGGTAGGCCCCTTCCAGTTGTATTCAGTTTGGTTCCCTAGTCACCATATAAAGGGCTTGGTGACCAGCTGAATCAGGTGTGCTCGTTCTGGAATAGATCAAATCCATGGAACGGCTGGGGGGTCCCAGAGGAGAGGTTGGAGAACGACTAGCTAGCACACTTACCTTCTCTGTCTCCAAGGTCTCTACGTGAAGGCCCTTTGGGAACGACTAGCTAGCACACTTACCTTCTCTGTCTCCAAGGTCTCTACGTGAAGGCCCTTTGGGAACCTGTCGGAGATTAGATCAACATTAGCCTTCTATAAAGATACTTAATCTCTGTACAATATACACACACAGTACTAGAAATATATATACTAACATTTTATGATTAACATTAACTGTCACTAAGCAGCGTAAAACGACAGTAATAAACACCAATTAGTTTTAGAAATATCAGAATGTAAACAAAGTTAAAAAGCGGCCTTCATTCATCTCCCTGTATTCTTGGGGTGGAACACTGAATTCTATCTGCAGAGTTCAACAACACTGCTGGTCTTGAAGGAGAGCCAGTACTTACTTCCAGTTGAGTGTCTGGTAGATCAGTTTCCTCTGAAACCTGGAGCAGAGCAGAGAAAATAACAGGAGGAATGGAGTTTGTAAATAAACAAAACAACGGTAAATGTTGCTGGGGGATTAGGAGAGCCATGTTTACATGGTAAAGCCCTTTGAGACTGAAGAAAGTGCTGTATAAATGCACATTCATCTCACACACACGTTTCTTTACCCAGTGCAGGGCTCCAGGTCCACAGTCTTCTCTGAGGTAGTGAACAGCGATTCCACCTTCTCTCTGCAAGGGACAAGAGGCAGGAGGAAGACTTAACAAAAAACGACTACAGGGATGCATTCAGGGCTGGAGCTGAACGGTGGTGTACGGGCTGTTAAAATGGATTTCTGCTCCGCTAGACATAAATCAGTCCCATGTGACTTCACTGTGGACCGTAGGACAGGTTCCACACTGAGGCTGTAACTTCTGTTTGGAGGAGTTTAAACCACGCCTTATATAAAGGAGCAAATATGAAGGAACTGGTGTCAGCAGATGGAAAGGGGCTAGGGGTGGATGAGGAACTGGTGTCAGCAGATGGCTAGGGAAAGGGGCTAGGGGTGGATGAGGAACTGGTGTCAGCAGATGGCTAGGGAAAGGGGCTAGGGGTGGATGAGGAAACTGGTGTCAGCAGATGGCTAGGGAAAGGGGCTAGGGGTGGATGGAGGAACTGGTGTCAGCAGGTGGCTAGGGAAAGGGGCTAGGGGTGGATGGGGAACTGGTGTCAGCAGATGGCTAGGGAAAGGGGCTAGGGGTGGATGAGGAACTGGTGTCAGCAGATGGCTAGGGAAAGGGGCTAGGGGTGGATGGAGGAACTGGTGTCAGCAGATGGCTAGGGAAAGGGGCTAGGGGTGGATGAGGAACTGGTGTCAGCAGGTGGCTAGGGAAAGGGGCTAGGGGTGGATGGGAACTGGTGTCAGCAGATGGCTAGGGAAAGGGGCTAGGGGTGGATGAGGAACTGGTGTCAGCAGATGGCTAGGGAAAGGGGCTAGGGTTGGATGAGGAACTGGTGTCAGCAGATGGCTAGGGAAAGGGGCTAGGGGTGGATGAGGAACTGGTGTCAGCAGATGGCTAGGGAAAGGGGCTAGGGGTGGATGGAGGAAACTGGTGTCAGCAGATGGCTAGGGAAAGGGGCTAGGGGTGGATGAGGAACTGGTGTCAGCAGATGGCTAGGGAAAGGGGCTAGGGGTGGATGAGGAACTGGTGTCAGCAGGTGGCTAGGGAAAGGGGCTAGGGGTGGATGAGGAACTGGTGTCAGCAGATGGCTAGGGAAAGGGGCTAGGGGTGGATGGAGGAACTGGTGTCAGCAGATGGCTAGGGAAAGAGGCTAGGGGTGGATGGAGGAACTGGTGTCAGCAGATGGCTAGGGAAAGGGGCTAGGGGTGGATGGAGGAACTGGTGTCAGCAGATGGCTAGGGAAAGAGGCTAGGGGTGGATGAGGAACTGGTGTCGGCAGATGGCTAGGGAAAGGGGCTAGGGGTGGATGAGGAACTGGTGTCAGCAGATGGCTAGGGAAAGGGGCTAGGGGTGGATGAGGAACTGGTGTCAGCAGATGGCTAGGGAAAGGGGCTAGGGGTGGATGAGGAACTGGTGTCAGCAGATGGCTAGGGAAAGGGGCTAGGGGTGGATGGAGGAACTGGTGTCAGCAGGTGGCTAGGGAAAGGGGCTAGGGGTGGATGAGGAACTGGTGTAAGCAGGTGGCTAGGGAAAGAGGCTAGGGGTGGATGAGGAACTGGTGTCAGCAGATGGCTAGGGAAAGGGGCTAGGGGTGGATGAGGAACTGGTGTCAGCAGGTGGCTAGGGAAAGAGGCTAGGGTGGATGAGGAACTGGTGTCAGCAGATGGCTAGGGAAAGGGGCTAGGGGTGGATGAGGAACTGGTGTCAGCAGATGGCTAGGGAAAGAGGCTAGGGGTGGATGAGGAACTGGTGTCAGCAGATGGCTAGGGAAAGGGGCTAGGGGTGGATGGAGGAACTGGTGTCAGCAGATGGCTAGGGAAAGGGGCTAGGGGTGGGTGAGGAACTGGTGTCAGCAGGTGGCTAGGGAAAGGGGCTAGGGGTGGATGGAGGAACTGGTGTCAGCAGATGGCTAGGGAAAGGGGCTAGGGGTGGATGAGGAACTGGTGTCAGCAGATGGCTAGGGAAAGGGGCTAGGGGTGGATGAGGAACTGGTGTCAGCAGATGGCTAGGGAAAGGGGCTAGGGGTGGATGGGGAACTGGTGTCAGCAGATGGCTAGGGAAAGGGGCGGATTTGGGACCAGGCTCTCGTCTCTCATACCACTCCGTTACCACATGCAACTACAGTCTAAAGTTGTAACTAGCAATGGGAGTCAGGTTTAACTTACATCACTCGTCCGATGTACTCCCTGTGCTCCTCTGGGATGCTGCCAGGGCCTTTGTTGGAGTTGGGGGAGATGTAGGAGGGGTTTCCTGATCCGTTACTCTGACTCCGCCTCTCCTCATATTGCTCCCGCAGCTGCACTTCCTCTTCCTGGTTCAGGTACGGGATCCCTATGGCAACCAGAAAAGGAGGCAGGGTTAGATAGCTAGGTGTCAGCTAGGTTAGCTTCAATCAATAAATCAAATCATCTTTATTGTCCCAGTTAGGATTTCTTTGGCAACCAGACAGAATGCCTCCTACCGTGACGGAACACTTTGTTGAAGTCAAAACCCTGACTGGCCAGAAAGTCTATGCTGGAACTCTGAAATAACAAACAATCATATTTAACAAAACACCACCAGGAGCAACATGGGTCCTATGTTTGTTTTCTATTTCTGTAGCAAACGTTTTAAAACATTTCCCGTTGCATGCCCTAATGACTACCACCCGGATTAAATAAGACAGACCAAGGTTTTCTAACCTGGCAGATGAACTTGATGTCTGGTGAGGTTCTGTTGAATGGCTTTGGGAATATATAAAAATTAAAAGTCTTTATGACGTACCTGTGGGACAAAAACACAGGGAGAGAGAACAGCAGGTCAGGTAGGTTAAACATGACTATAGCTTGCATAGATATCACATTCAAAATGGCTGACTAAGTCTTCTATTTAATACTAAATCAGCGTTCTATTTAATTATGTGACAGCCTGGTCCCAGATCTGTGTTTCAGACACAACCCGTTTGGCATGACAGTAAACCAACACAGCAGAGAAGAGTTGGCTTAAGCACAAACTGATCTGGAGTCAGGTCAGGGGTCGTATGCGTCAAGCTTATCTAAGTAAGAGGGCAGATATAGGGTCAGGTCCATGTAGTCTCATTCAGTATGATCCGAAAGGCTAAAAACGGATCCTAAATCAGCACTCCTACTCATTGTGGTGAAGGAAGGAAGGTTAAATCTAAGAAAGAAAGGTCCCACTCACTTGGACTCTGCCTGGTCATATGTGAATGTACACAGTCCAAACTGAAACAGCAAGAAGTCCATGGAATGCTGCAAGGGGGTGGAGAGGGGGTGGAGAGAGGCAGAGGGAGAGATACAAACGTATAGATGTAAAGCCTGACCGCTAGCACATGACCTTGTTGTGGCCCACAAGGGGCCATACATGTAGACTCCAGTAATCAAAACACCGGAAAACCATAATGAAATTCAGCCATGAAATAAAAAAAGTTGTGCGAGTTACCTCGCTATACTATTAGTTATATAGTTACTGACTCAGTACCCGACCGACACCGACAGTTGTAACCAGAGCCATATACTTAGTTAGGAAATATTTTAGAATATTGTTCTAATTCTAGACATTCAGTTACATAGCATAGTTAAATATTCCCCCATGTAATGTTAACGGGGACCTAACATGGCTGCCATAAAATGTTGTAGTGTCATGTAAATCATGCACCATAATGCAGAAACCGCATTGCCCCAACTCTAAACGCATGCCTCTGGCTCTAACGAGTTAGCATCTCTTGACCATTACCTTTTTTAGCTTCATGTAGCGCTCCTCTGGCGTGTCCAACCCGTTAGTTAGTGCGCTGACGTTGGGCCCATCGCTAATACCTGAAGTCGAAAATAGCGTATTAGCTACTGTATCACTCAGTTCAAAACCGACTGCGTGTGTGGCTTGTAGCAGCCACTGAGACGGGTTGGCCAGCGAGCTAGCTAAATTGTAGCTAGAAATGTTTGCTAGTTAAATAGTTAGCTAACAAGGGCTTACCTGAAAATTCCCCATCGATTGCGAGAAAGTCCGCTTCATCTATTGCGCTGTACACAGTGCTTAAACTGTCTTTGAAATCTGTAATACAAATACAACAATCAGCCAGTTTGTGGTACACTCAACGTGCTAGCTAGCTAGCGGGTTAGCATTCGCAACCTCGCGGACATGAACGGAATCATATTTTTGCTATTCTTCGGGGAGAAACGACAGCTAACGTTGTGTATCTAATAGCATATTAATATAATCTTGGTGTATATTATCTATAAGGGTGCATAAAGAGGTTAATTACTTGTTCGTGTCACCTCCATCCCTGCAGAAAAACAAAAATACAATGTATCAACCCGCTGCTGTCGCTCAAGTGGATTTTAACCTTTTCCTAAGAACACTTCCGGCGTAGTGACGTGTTTGACACGACGTCACTCAAAAATATGGCTATTACAAAATAATAGCCGTATGATGCACGAATCACGATTATGCACTTTTTAGCTCGAATGTACATTATGGGTTTATTAAACGCACGGTGAGCAGAACTGAACTTGTTATAATGACTGTGTCCCCCCCCCCCCATTTTGAATAGCAATTTCCATGTTTCTTATCATGTCAGAGAGTTGCACCCCTCCTCAAAAAACCTACACTCGATCCCTCCGATGTCAACAACTACAGACCAGTATCCCTTATTTCTTTCTCTCCAAAACTCTTGAGCGTGCCGTCTCTAGCCAACTCTCCTGCTATCTCTCTCAGAATTACCTTCTTGATCCAAACCAGTCAGGTTTCAAGACTGGTCATTCAACTGAGACTGCTCTTCTCTGTGTCACGGAGGCTCTCCGCACAGCTAAAGCTAACTCTCTCTCCTCTGCTCTTATCCTTCTAGACCTATCTGCTGCCTTTGATACTGTGAACCATCAGATCCTCCTCTCCACCCTCTCCGAGTTGGGCATCTCCGGCGCTGCTCACTCTTGGATTGCGTCCTACCTGACAGGTCACTCCTACCAGGTGGCGTGGCGAGAATCTGTCTCCGCACCACGTGCTCTCACCCCTGATGTCCCCCAGGGCTCAGTTCTAGGCCTTCTCCTATTCTCTCTATACACCAAGTCACTTGGCTCTGTCATATCCTCACATGGTCTCTCCTATCATTGCTACGCAGACGACACACAATTAATTTTCTGATAACCAGGTGGCGAATCGCATCTCTGCATGTCTGGCAGACATATCAGTGTGGATGTCGGATCACCACCTCAAGCTGAACCTCGGCAAGACAGAGCTGCTCTTCCTCCCGGGGAAGGACTGCCCGCTCCATGATCTCGCCATCACGGTTGACAACTCCATTGTGTCCTCCTCCCAGAGTGCAAAGAACCTTGGCGTGACCCTGGACAACACCCTGTCGTTCTCCGCTAATATCAAAGCGGTGACCCGATCCTGCAGGTTCATGCTCTACAACATTCGCAGAGTATGACCCTACCTTACACAGAAAGCGGCACAGGTCCTAATCCAGGCACTTGTCATCTCCCATCTGGATTACTGCAACTCGCTGTTGGCTGGGCTCCCTGCCTGTGCCATTACATTTACATTTACGTCATTTAGCAGACGCTCTTATCCAGAGCGACTTACAAATTGGTGCATTCACCTTATAGCCAGTGGAATAACCACTTTAAAAAAAAATTTTGTGGGGGGGTAAGGGGGGGGGGGTTAGAAGGATAACTTTATCCTATCCCAGGTGTTCCTTAAAGAGGTGGGGTTTCAAATGTCTACGGAAGGAGGTGAGTGACTCCGCTGTCCTGGCGTCGTGAGGGAACTTGTTCCACCATTGGGGTGCCAGAGCAGCGAACAGTTTTGACTGGGCTGAGCGGGAACTGTGCTTCAGCAGAGGTAGGGGAGCCAGCAGGCTAGAGGTGGATGAACGCAATGCCCTCGTTTGGGTGTAGGGACTGATCAGAGCCTGAAGGTACGGAGGTGCCGTTCCCCTCACAGCTCCGTAGGCAAGCACCATGGTCTTGTAGCAGATGCGAGCTTCAACTGGAAGCCAGTGTAGTGTGCGGAGGAGCTGGGTGACATGAGAGAACTTGGGAAGGTTGAACACCAGACGGGCTGCGGCATTCTGGATGAGTTGTAGGGGTTTAATGGCACAGGCAGGGAGCCCAGCCAACAGCGAGTTGCAGTAATCCAGACAAGTGCCTGGATTAGGACCTGTAAGGCAGGGTCGTACTCTCCGAATGTTGTAGAGCATGAACCTACAGGATCGGGTCACCGCCTTGATGTTAGCGGAGAACGACATGGTGTTGTCCAGGGTCACACCAAGGCTCTTTGCACTCTGGGAGGAGGACATAACGGAGTTAAACCCCTACAACTTATCTAGAACGCTGCAGCCCGTCTGGTGTTCAACCTTCCCAAGTTCTCTCATGTCATCCCGCTCCTCCGCACACTCCACTGGCTTCCAGTTGAGGCTCGCATCTACTACAAGACCATGGTGCTTGCCTACGGAGCTGTGAGGGGAACGGCACCTCCGTACCTTCAGGCTCTGATCAGACCCTACACCCAAACGAGGGCACTACGTTCATCCACCTCTGGCCTGCTAGCCCCCCTACCTCTACGGAAGCACAGATCCCACTCAGCCCAGTCAAAGCTATTCGCTGCTCTGGCACCCCAATGGTGGAACAATCTCCCCCACGACGCCAGGACAGTGGAGTCACTGACCACCTTCCGGAGACATTTGAAACCCTACCTCTTTAAGGAATACCTGGAATAGTATAAAAGTAATCCTTCTACCCCCCCACACACACACACACATAAAAAAAAAGTGGTTGTCCCACTGGCTATAATAAATTGAATGCACCAATTTGTAAGTCGCTCTGGATAAGAGCGTCTGCTAAATGATGTAAATGTAAATGTAACGTCATCAAGGGTCACTCAATGCAAAAGCACAAAACTCTGCCATGAAAGACAGACTGAAATGAAGATCCACATTTTTTTAGATAGGTGACAAATAAAGGTACTGTAGCGATCTTATCCAGATGAATGTGTTTATGTTAAAATTACACATATTACTATTGTTAACTAACTGAAGCTAGAATTACACTATTATTAATGGCATTATTGATCAATAATAATTAATAACAATCAATAACAATAACAATTTGTGCACAGGGGCATTGTCATGCTGAAACAGGAAAGGGCCTTTCCCAAACTGTTGCCACAAAGTAGGAAGCACAGAATCATCTAGAATGTCATTGTACGCTGTAGCGTTAAGATTTCCCTTCACTGGAACTAAGGGCCTTGCCAGACCATTACTCCTCCTCCACCAAACTTTACAGTTGGCACTATGCATTCAGGCTACCGCCAAACCCAGATTCATCCATCGGACTGCCAAATGGTGAAGCGTGATTCATCATTCCAGAGAACGCATTTCCACTGCTCCAGAGTCCACCACTCCAGCCGTGCTTGGCATTGCGCATGGTGATCTTAGGCTTGCGTGTGGCTGCTTGGCCATGGAAACCTATTTCATGAAGCTCCCAACTAACAGTTATTGTGCTGACGTTGCTTCCAGAGGCAGTTTGGAACTCGGTAGTGAGTGATGCAACTGAGGACAGACGATTTTTACACTCTACGTGTTTCAGCACTTGGCGGTCCCGTTCTGTGAGCTTGTGTGGCCTGCCTATTCGTGGCTGAGCCGATGTTGCTCCTAGACATTTCCACTTCACAATAACAGCACTTACAGTTGACCGGGGAAACTCTAGCAGGGCAGAAATTTGACGAACTGACTTGTTGGAAAGGTGGCATCCTATGACGGTGCCACGTTGAAAGTCACTGAGCTCTTCAGTAAGGCCATTCTACTGCCAATGTTTGTCTATGGAGATTGCATGGCTGTGTGCTCGATTTTATACACCTGTCAGCAACGGGTGTGGCTGAAATAGCCGAATCCACTAATTTGAAGGGGTGTCCACATACTTTTGTATATATAGTGTATCCAAACATCAACTGTTAATACAAAAACTCCCAGGCTAAAATGTGAACTCAACATGAACGGAGAGACGATCAGCATAATTTCAGTTTGAGACAGATTGACAAAATATAATTATATTCCAAGTCATACAAACAGAATACAACTGCATGGCATTTAGCATTTAGAATGAACTAGTCACTGTGGTAAGATTGCTGACAAGTCTTTTAAAACCAGCAATCAAGACTCATGGACCCAATCCTAAATTTCCCCCTAGACCCTATGCACTTGTTGAGATCTGAGAGGATTTGAGCCGTTTGTCTTTGGTAACCTCAGTCATCTTGTCCCAAATCCCTCTCTAGATCTGCCAACATCGAAGGGTGAGGGCTAGGGCTGTTAAAGTGACAGTGACCGTATTACCGCCACACCGGCGGTCACGTGCCATGATGGCAGTCAAATTCCACGTGACCGTTTAGTCACGGTAATTAGGCTTCTCCAAGCTCTGATGCTGCTGATGGTCATTAGTAGCCTTCCAAACTTGATAACTGCCTGGTACTCAGCACTCTATTGTCCCTCTAATCACTCCGACATCAATGCAAATGTCATCTAAAATCTAATCAAACACTTCATGAGAGCCCATGAGCTCATGTTGTGCAACATTTCTATAGCCTACGCAATTGCTTGATAAAACAGTTTTGATGGACTATTAAAAAGAGGAGGATCCCATCAGCTTTCTATAGGCTAGGCCTACTATTTATCAACTTTCCTAATATTACCCACATTGCTTCGCTTTACAACAGGAGTATAGCCTACCTGGCTGGCATGAAAATTAACCACAGGTAAACCGTCCTCCATTCGCTATTTAAGTGCATAGTTGACACATATTTTTCACCCATGCCCCTGTTCCAAGACAGGTGCATGATAATGGTCCATTCTAAATCAAAACTCATTTCACACATATATTATCTAGTATATGTAAAGACAACATTAAATCAAGAATAGTCTGATGGGTGACAATATTAGCCTATCACTTGTGGATGATGTATTATCACTTGTGAATGATGCCCAGCTTGTGCAGTAAGGCAAGGAATAGCTCATGCCTTTTTTTGCGACTTTTTCAAATCATAGTCGCACACCTGATGTAGCTTAGACCATAATAGGCCTATATGTTTTGATAAGGTTTGTATCACAACTAAAGTGACCAAATAACTCCTTAAAATGAAGCACATGAATCCGCTTTATAACAGGTGTAGAGCCTAACAGGCATACATATGCTGCTCATGAGTTTCAAGTTTGGGGAAGATCATTTTCACCATAAATATGCACCTTTTTAATAAAGCATTACATGTATAATCACATTTGCCTTCACTTTCGAGAACAGTGTTTTCCCTAGAAATTGATTCCATTTTGGAACTTTCGCGCTTATAGCCTACAGCCGTGTGCGCATTGACGCGTTTATAATGTGACGAAATAGCCTAATAGTTTACCAACATTTTAAACTAAACGTTCTGATCTGTTGCATCAGCCTCATTGCTTTAAAAATGTTTTTTTTTTTATGCGAGTGGTTGTATTAATTTGGGATCTATCGTATCCCACAACTGTCCCAAGAGTATGTTTGGAATATTTATTTCTTGCACAAAAGAACAGTTGACCAATAGCATAGGTCAACTTTTGCACTATCGGGGATAGTATGAAAATGTATACTCTGGATAAGAGTGTCTGCTAAATGACTAAAAATGTCAAATGTAAATAGTAGATTGACATAAGCTAGTGCTTTTGCTGTTCGTCAGGCCGACTCATCTTGTTGGCTAAATGTAGACGGTTCTAACATCGTCAATATGCGCCTCGGGATTCGATAAGAGGGACGTGGGCAGTTGCGCCCCCGATGTGTCCGTCTTTATTCACTTGTAGCCAACTTCCTAGCTGAAATGACTGTGAGTATGGAACCGATCATGTGACGGGCATTGGCTACATCTGAAGGACCATGTGAGTGAGAGGTGTTTCGGAGCACCGCAGCCAGGATAATTATTATTAATATATTCAGACGAAGGGCACAACGGTCACAAAAGGCATTCTTTTTTTTTTTGTGGGCATTATGGTCACACAAGGGGGATGCCGCATGGAAATTCGAGGCCTGGTGATTATCAAGTGATTGTAAATTGTGAATGAGAGACTGATGAAGTGTGTGCAGCTTGCAACTTTTTTTCAAATCATCCTTAGAGTCCCATCATGCAGCCTTAGAATGTATAAAAAATCTAATATATAGCGCAACGTTTGTATCACAACTAAAGTTGAATAAATAACTCTAAATGAAGCATATAGGAGGACCTGTTTCATTGTTAACCGCTTAACACAGAATAGCCGGATGTGAGCACTTCCTTTGAAATCGTTTGGAGAAAATATCCTTTCTATTTTATTAAGCTGTGTTCAACTGTATTCGTCATACTATAAAATAATTTTAAAAAATAATGCCATGGAATTCTAAGCAAATCTTGTCTGCTAAATGAACTAGTGTAGCCCACAGCCATATGGCATAGCCAGATCAGGGCCTAACATAAGGACAACTCAGAGTATGCTATTCTGTTCTTCTGAAATAGACAACATTTTCTTCATATCATGTTTCTTTAGAACTGTCTAAAATAAATAATGGATATATTGTGATTTGTAGGCTATATTAAATTAATGTATTATACTGTAGACGTTCCAAAAGGTCTGCGTCAGTGGATTTTAGGCTATGCGTGGAAGCCAGGAGATTTTGTATTTATTTATTTTACCTTTATTTAACTAGGCAAGTCAGTTAAGAACAAATTCTTATTTACAATGACGGCCTACACCGGCCAAACCCGGACAACGCTGGGCCAATTGTGTGCCGCCCTATGGGACTCCCAATCACGGCCGGTTGTGATACAGCCTGGAATCGAACCAGGGGGTCTGTAGTGACGCCTCAAGCAGTGAGATGCAGTGCCTTAGACCGCTGAGATGCAGTGCCTTAGACCGCTGCACCACTCGGTCTGTAGTGACGCCTCAAGCACTGAGATGCAGTGCCTTAGACCGCTGCGCCACTCAGGAGATGCTAAACATGTTTATGGTAATTAACGGTAAATTACCATGAGACCGGCAGTTATTTGCTTGACAATCCACCTGCTGACAAAATGTCATGACCGCCACAGCCCTAGTGAGGGCCAAGCAAGGGTACGTGGTAGGTAGGGGTTTGGGATGTGCTGAGTCCCAAAAGGCACCCCGTTCCCTGTAGAGTGCACACCATTGGGCCGTGCAAGGCCAAAAGTAGTGCACTATATAGAGCATAGGGTGCTAGTTGGAATTCAGGCTGAGTCTAGGGTAGTTTTCCAATATTTTAGACATGTTCCCTTCTGTGCATAGCCTGTGGTCTTGTGGTAACACAGCTGGATGCTCTATGTATGCCTCAGCCTCCCCACTGGAGACCAGGGTTCAATCCCTGCATTGACTCTTCACTGTCTTCCCTCCTCATCTGTCTCCCCCTCTACTTCTAACCTGTCTCAATTAAAAACATCAATTATACCCCCCTTAAAAAAAACACATCCTTCCCATCTTCTTTCCTTGAAGTAGTAAACAGATCTATAAGGGATTGGACAGGTTTTAAACCAGGTTACAATTGAGTCTGATGTGGGTAGGGATTAGGGATTATCTGATTGTGTGGTGGGTGAGTTCTTTTCATGTGTCTCCTTAAGTTTCCAGAATCACTCCAAGCCTTCCCACAAAGAGGGCAGATGTAGGGTTTCTCCCCTGTATGAGTTCTCAGGTGTCTCTTAAGACAGCCGGCCTGATGGAATCCCTTTCCACATTCAGAGCACACATGTGGGTTCTTCAGAGGATCATTTGGTGGGTGTTGTGTCTTTATGTGTGATTCCAGTCTTTCTGCAGTTATGAAGCTCTTCTTACATTGACCACAGCGGTGAGGGTGGTCTGTATGAAAAACCAGCCGGTGATGTTTAAGGCTTGATTTTACAATGAATTGCTTCCCACAATCCAAGCAGTGGTGAGGTTTAACTGTGTGTTGTTTAACAGTATGACTTCTGATGTGTCTCTTTAAGTTTCCAGAATCACTCCAAGCCTTCCCACAACGAGGGCAGACGTACGGTTTCTCCCCCGTATGAGTTCTCTGGTGTCTCTTAAGACAGCCGGCCTGTGTGAATCTCTTTCCGCATTCAGAGCACACGTGTGGTTTCTCTCCAGTCAGATACAGTAAGTGTGTTTTCAGATTGGTTGCTGTGACAAAATTCTTCCCACAGTGATCACAGATATGGGAGCTAGGCCTGTCTCCTGAGAGGGTTTTGTGTTGTCCAGCATTAGACGAGCTGTGGGGTTTCTCTCCTGTCTGTGTTGTCTTGTGTATTATATGGCCACGCTGCCCCGGTGTTTTCCTGCAGTCGACCAGCCGCACAGACACTGTCTTCAGACCCCACAGTAAGGCACTACCGGGAGAGGCAGGACCCGGGGACTCTGGGAGGCTGGAGGGGGGCCGGGGAGGCTTGTCCTGGAAATCAGAAAAATATACATGGAGAAAAGATAATGGAGCGATACATTTTAAATAATATCATCTTTGAAAACGAATAATCATCAAAATAAAAGCTAGACAGTCAGGGAGAATAAACAATGCCAAAAACAATTAATTTAGCAGTATTGATTTTGCTATTATGTTTGAGCAAAATAACTTAACTATGGACGAATGCATAGAATTCAAGGAAATTAGCTTTAAACTGCAACATCTTCTCTCAGGTCCGTGGCAGAATACATAGAAACACAGGAAATTTGCTTTACAAATGTGTTAATATATCGCTCAGCTCCATGGAGAAATTTGTAGAGTTGCAGAACATTTCCTTAAAAATGATAAGAATTCTCTACACCACCAAGATGGGGGCCTCTAAAATGTTGTCCAAAATTCAACTGCGCCGATGGGCCGACCATTGACACGCCCCCATGCAGCGCCCATTGACACGCCCCCATTGCCACACCCCTATGCCACGCCCACCACCTAAACCCCTTTTTGATCCAGAAAAATCCCTTGCGAGAAATGCTCTCCTACCTATCAAGGAATAAATCCCTGGAGTGAAACGCTCTCCTACCGATCAAGGAATAAATCCCTAGAGTGGGAAACGCTCTCCTACCTATCAAGGAATAAATCCCTAGAGTGGGAAACGCTCTCCTACCTATCAAGGAATAAATCCCTAGAGGGAAACGCTCTCCTACCTATCAAGGAATAAATCCCTAGAAGGAAACGCTCTCCTACCTAATAAGGAAGTTTGAAGTCTCAAAAGTCTTTCCTTGATTCCTCTCATCCTCGATTACTCTGCCGCCTCCTCAAAATGCATTGGAGGAGAAAGACCAAGACGTGGAGCCTCAGTTATTCTCCTCCCAATGCATTTGTAGAAGGAGGTCGAGGATTCAAGAATGAGAGGAATCAAGGGAAGACTGTGGAGAAACAAAATACATAATGACTGAAAAGTACTCACGCCACTCTCCCTCTTTTCTGCTGTGTGCCTCTCTGGAGCTGACTCCGCCTCCAATCTGTTGCTAGGCAACCTAGCGCCTCCCTCTTCGTTCCATTCTTCTTTGCAGTCTGCAGCGTCATCACCATCATCGGATTGGCTGGGACTCATGGGCTCCGCCTTCAGTCCGATGCTAGGCAACCAATCCCTGTCCTCATCATCATCATCAGCCTGGCTGGGACTCACGGGTGCACCGCTACCATCCTCCTGTATCCCTCTAATGTCCTCTTTCAGTTGGAGTGACCAAGACGTTCCCTGCTCCTCCCATTTCATTGAATCCACATTAATTTCCTCCACATTTCCTGTAGGGTTGCTCCTCTGATTGGCGAGCCTCTTAACAACCATCTCTTCTCCTGGGTGAGTTTTTCTCATGTGTCTCCTTAAGTTTCCAGAATCACTCCAAGCCTTCCCACAACGAGGGCAGACGTACGGTTTCTCCCCAGTATGAGTTCTCAGGTGTCTCTTAAGACAGCCGGACATTTTGAATCCCTTACCGCATGTAGAGCACAAGTGTGGTTTGCGAAATACACTTTCTGACTGGGAAGTACTCACACCACTCTCCCTCTGCTCTGGGGTGTGCCTCTCTGGAGATGACTCCGCCTCCAGTCTGTTGCTAGGCAACCTAACTCCTCCCTCTTCGTTCCATTCTTCGTCGCAGTCTTCAGCATCATTGGCTTGGCTGGGACTCATGGGTGCGCTGCTAGCATCCTCCAGTATCCTCCTGATGTCCTCTTTCAGTTGGAGTAACCAAGACATTCCCTGCTCCTTCTGATTTCATTGAATCCGTATTGTCCCACATTTCCTCCATGATTTTACGCCGTAATAAGCGATGATTCATTCCTTTAATTTCGGAGCCGTCTTTGCCATCTTGACCATGATGTTCACACAGGTAACGTAAATTGTCCTCAGTTAAATTCCATAAACTCTTTTCGATTTCATCCATCAACGTTTCCTTCTCAGAACTCATTTTGTCTCAGCAGTTAGAATGTTTCTTTCTAAATAATACAATTAAAATAACAACTTGTTATTGAACGGAGCTGTCACTAGTGTGAGGTGTCTCTCTCCTGTGTATTCACAGGTCTCCTATATCTCCCTCCACACTGGGAACTTTGGGTAGGTGCTGCTTTGCGAGTCTCCGGCCAAGACAAGTTATTCCAGGGTCAGAAACAACACCAGATCTTCTTCCTGTCACCAGAACAGTGGAATCCCTTGTGAGGTCACCTGTGTAAACAGGAAGACATGGTGTAAAGGACGAGTCGAACGGGATTAGTTTGACCAAACTGCCCCCTGTAATATGTTTTTGTCTCATTCAAATTGACCCTTATGATGGAAGCCTGGAGGCTGTTCTAGGCGTGCAGATATTTCAACTTGTCTAGGTGATCCCCAGTAAAACGAATCCCGTCCTAATAGGGATTTGTACCGTCAAATATGAAGTGACATTCTATTTTTGTCAAGTCCATCAAATGTTTAAATATTCTCTATTTTACTGTCACTATTTCATTTTTACTTAATAGAACAATATAATAGAACAATATAGTGATCATTAAAATAAGTAAACATGTTTTAACATTATAATTAAATTGAAAGGTTCCCAAAATGAGAACTTTTATTTTGAAGGTTCAAATTTGGAATTTTAGAAGCAAACTTGCTAAATAACATAACACGAACATTAGGTACAACAGCTCATTCATTATATGTACAGTCGCTCTGCCTGTTCTTACCATACAGAAAACAATAGTCGTTTTATTCCTGTATTGACTATGATTGAGCAGAGCTTCAAATGAGTTAGCAGGAGCTATTAAGCAGCCAGCTACCAAACTGAAAAAAAGTAGCAGTCTGAAGAGCAGGTATATAACAGTAACTAACAGTTATGCAACCCTAACGACTAGGTAACTACATCGTTTGAACAACCCCGACACCTAATGCTTTACCGACCAGCTATATTCCAACATTTTCCCATTCTTGCCTCAATCAAAGAAGAATGGCGTCCACCATCTTTGGTATTGACCTGTGGTATTGATACCGTTGTGAAGCGGGCAAGAGTAACCAGAGATACCTTTATGGAGATGGTAAACTCCAATGGAATCGTATTAAGGCACATTGTGTACGTTGCCCATGCTTCGTCAATGGGCCGCGCGGTGCATTCTGGGTGATTCTGGGACAAGGAACTCACTCCTTCAAGAAGTAAACGGCAGTCCATTGGGCGCTAGCTCAAAAACCCAACATTAGCATGAATTACGTGAACAAGAAGTACAACATTAAACATTTTTATCGGGGTATGGGATAATTAACTTGTTCTCTGTAATATCGTATAGCTTTGAAATCGTGACATTACGTACTATTGAGGAAAATAGGCAGGTTTCTCGACTCATACCCTGACTTTTAGAAGGGATTGCGTGCCGATTAGTTTTACAATTACGTGACGCAGCATGACAACGTGAACGCAATTGGTCGACATTCATATTGGCAGTGGTGGAAGAAGTACCCAAATGTCATACTTGAGTAAAAGTAAAGATACCTTAATAGAAAATGACTCAAGTAAAAGTGAAAGTCACCCAGTAAAATACTACTTGAGTAAAAATCTAAAAGTATTTGGTTTTAAATATACTTAAGTGGCGCAGTGGCTAAGGCACAGCATCGCAGTGCTAGCTGTGCCACTAGAGATCCTGGTTCGAGTACAGGCTCTGTCTCAGACGGCCGCGACCGGGAGACTCACGGGCGGCGCACAATTGGTCCAGCGTCGTCCAATGTAGGGGAGGGTTTGGCCGGCAGGGATGTGGGTTCGTTTCCCACGGGGGGCCAGTATGGGAAAAAAAATACATGTATGCATTCACTAACTGTAAGTCGCTCTGGATAAGAGCGTCTGCTAAATGACTAAAATGTAATTGCTAAAATATACTTAAGTATCAAAAGTGTAAATAATTTCAAATTTCTTATATTAAGCAAACCAGACAGCACGATTTTCTTGTTTTTTAAATGTACGGATAGCCAGGGGCACACTCCAACACTCAGACATAATTTACAAACAAAGCATCTGTGTTTAGTGAGTCCGCCAGATCAGATGCAGTAGGGATGACCAGGGACTTTCTCTTGATAAGTGCATGAATTGGACAATTTTCCTGTCCTGCTAAGCATTCAAAATGTAACAAGTACTTTTGCGTGTCAGAGTAAAAAGTACATTATTTTCTTTAGGAAGGTAGTTTATTAAAAAAAATAACTTGTCGAAATATAATTTTTTTATTTTACCTTTATTTAACTAGGCAAGTCAGTTAAGAACAAATTCTTATTTACAATGACGGCCTACACCGGCCGAACCCGGAAGACACTGGGCCAATTGTGCGCAGCCATAGGGGACTCCCAATCACAGCCGGTTCTGATACAGCCTGGAATCGAACCAGGGTGACGCCTCAAGAACTGAGATGCAGTGCCTTAGACCGCTGCGCCACTCGGGAGTAAAATATAAATAGTAAAGTAAAGTACAGACACCCCAAAAAACGACTTAAGTAGTACTTTAAAGTATTTTTACTTAAGTATTTTACACCACTATATGTTGGTCGACATTCATATCCCACTGAGATTCTTATCTCCTCATTCTCTAATTGCTCTGGAATAACTAAGCACTTCCGTGTCACGATTTTTGGAATCTTTCAGAATAAGAGTCCCGTCCTGTATACTTTGTAAATCAATAATCTGGGAGAAAATGATGGAAAAGGTGCACAATTAAAATGGTCAACAATGTTTTTTGTGTGTGTGTGTACTCCTATAATTTATTGGACTGTACATCATTGTACGTTGTGTCTCAGTAAGGGCTGTCCATTCTACTCAGGAGCACTTCTACTTTCCAAATCCACAGAGTTTACACCCAGACGAGCGTCGCTGCTCATTTCGCGGCTCTTAAAGCAGTAGAGAGGTGAGTGGGTAAAATCACTGGGGCCAGTAAAAAAAAAGCCATATTACAACCTATGTTGTGATAATTGCGTTGTTTGCTCTACAACCCATTCGTTCATATGCCACCGTGACAATACAATAAGGCCGAGACGACAAAAAGACAACAGTCACACAGTGGCTAAATATACTGAGCAAAAATATAAAAAGCAACATGCAACAATTTCAAAGATTTTACTGAGTTACAGTTCATATAAGAAAATCAAGCAATTGAAATAAATTCATTAGGACCTAATCTTTGGATTTCACATGACTGGGCAGGGGCGCAGCCATGGGTGGGCCTGGGAGGGCGTAGACCCACCCACTGGGGAGCCAGGCACAGCCAATCAGAATGAGTTTTTCCCCACAAAAGGGCTTAATTACAGACAGAAATACTCCTAGGTTTCATCAGCTGTCCAGGTGGCTGGTCTCAGACAATCCCGCAGGTGAAGAAGCCGGGTGTGAAGGTCCTTGGCTGGCTTGGTTACACAGGTCTGCGGTTTTGAGGCTGGTTGGACATCACAGGAGGTTGGTGGCACCTTAATTGGGGAGAACGGCCTCGTGGTAATGGCTGGAGCCGTTCCGGACATTATTATGAGCCGTTCTCCCCTCAGCAGCCTCCTGTGTTGGACATACTGCCAAATTCTGTAAAACGACATTGGATCTATAAATGGGAGCCTCTTCAATAATAATAATAATAATAATATGCCATTTAGCAGACGCTTTTATCCAAAGCGACTTGTATGTGTGCATACATTTTTATGTATGGGTGGTCCCGGGGATCGAACCCACTACCCTGGCGTTACAAGCGCCATGCTCTACCAATTGAGCTACAGAGGACCACAATGTCCTTATCTGACCAATAGGGGGAGCTGTTGCTATTGCCCATATTGTGAATCACTGGTCTGGGAATACAGTAGTTTGACTGGCTCCTATCCAGATTAGTTTTATTATGTTCTGCAATATTGTTGCTACTGCTTTTTTTTATTTGAATATTGATATTGTTGCATCTTTTTTGAATATGGTATGGCTTATGGTAGAGAAATGAACATTCAATTCTCTGGCAACAGCTCTGGTGGACATTCCTGCAGTCAGCATACCAATTGCACGCTCCCTCAAAACTTGAGACATCTGTGGCATTGTGTTGTGTGACAAAACTGCACAGGGTGAAAACAGATTATAAAAAATCCGGTGAAGTCCACAAAGCAAATACTGCATGTAACAAACAGTTAGGCCTACATGACTTACAGTCAAGTTAATGTTTTCAACAGTTTACTAAACAACTACTGATTTAGAACCACAGAGATACCGCAAGTCAGCCAAAAGACAACAGGAGCACTGCCTCCCAA